GCGTACCGCTGCCGTGCGCGACCAAACTCGTCGACGTCGGCGTTGGGCCCCGGCATCCCCGTCGTCTGCTGCTGTTGCTGCCCGGGCCCGTGCTGCTGCGTCGGGAACCCACCGCCCTGCATCGGCGGCCGCTGCGGCCCGTGTTGCGCGGCATTCTGCATCTGGTGCTGCGGGAACCCGCGGCCGAACCCACCCTGCGGCCCAAACCGCATCGGTGGGCGGCCAAACCCGCCCGATCCGCCAAACCCGGGCCGCACGCCCGCCTGCTGCTGTACCTGCGGCCCCTGCTGCTGGTTCGGATGGTGCGGGTGCGTCTGGAACCGCGGCGCGTTCGGCAACTGCCCGCCCTGCTGTTGCTGCTGCTGCTGGAACGGCGGCCGCTGCATCATGCCCGGGCGCATGCCCATCTGGTGGGGCGGCATGTCACGCATCCGCATGTTGGCCGGTAAATGGCTCATGTTTGCGGGCATGTGGCTCGCGTGCACTTGCTGCTGCTGTTGCTGCTGCTGGACTGGCTGCATCATGGGCCGCATCCCACCCATGCCGGGTTGCTGCTGCTGCATCGCCGGGCGCATGTGCATCGCGCCTTGCTGTTGCTGCATCGGCGGCTGCTGCTGCTGTTGCTGCTGCCCGGCGAACCCCCACCCGGCATTCTACACAAGCTCAAACGGTCAATCTCCCGTGCCCACGCACGATCCGCGGCCAAGCAACAAGAACGTACCCCAAACCGGCGCTGCGCGACCTGATCCTCGCGCAACATGCGCTGCTTTTCGCAGTATTGCCGCCACGTCTCTTCATTGAACCCGTAGTTGAAGTAATCGGTCATGTCCTCGCCTGGTCGGCGCCACGGCTTGTCCTCGAACGACTCGAGCGGGACCTCGGTGATGGGCTTGCCGTTGTAAAGCGCGGGGGCCGTCAGGTCGATCGCGGTCGCGGCCGACGCGGGGGTCGCGGTCGCGGCGGCGCCAGAAGGTGTCAAGGAGGTGCCGTTGGTGGATTTGGGCTCGGTCGATTTGAGCGTCAGCGCGGGGGCTCTGGCGGTGGGGAGGATTCGGTGAGCGACGGGCTACTCCAACCAACGCGCGCGCGTCGAGAATAAATTCAAAGCGTACTCGGTCGATTGCTCGGCCGCATCGTCGGTCGCTTCCAGCACAATGTCGATATCCTATTGTCGACACCGCACCCAAATCAGTTCCTCGCTCCACTCTACGACCCGCGCCCGTTCTCGCACAAACCAAACGTACATCCTCGTCGCTCTCATCATCCGCATCCACAAACATGGCCGCGGGCACTTCGTCGCCGCCCTCGTTCGGGACCGCGTCCGGGTCGGCGGGCACGTACTCGCCCATGCGCACGTCGTCGCCGTCAGCATCGTCGGTCGGCGCGCCATCTCCGTCAGCGGCAGCGGGTTTGCCAGCGGTGGGGGCGGGCGCGGGCGCGGGCGCGGGCGCCGCGTCCTCGTCGCCGTAGAGAAACTCGTCGAGGTCGTCGAAATTGTCGGCCATGGTGGGGGAGCCGCCGCGCTTGCCGCGATCAGGCTGCTTGCTGCTGGTAGAGGTTGGACCTGCTGGTACGGCTGGATGCACGCGGTGCGGCGTTGTAGTCGTGGTCGACGCGCCGAGCTGGTGTGGTCGTTCGTGGTGGTGGTGGTCGCGGATGGATGGTTTTCGGTCGTGACGAACAAGGGAACGATCAGGCTCACGTGCGATTGGCTCAACCATCCAAACGACCGAGAAATCCTTCAGCAAGAGCACTGTTGGATCAGTTTTGTTGCGACCGTGTCAGAACGCAAGGTATACAATCTATTATGACTAATGCCGGCCAAGACGCGCCGTCTTCCGGCGCGCGAGCGCGCGCTGCTCGGGTCGTCGCGATGACGATGTCGAAATAACCGCTCGCCGATCAGGACAGCGGAGCCTAGCCCGTACGTCCGACCACTCCATCAAAAGTATTCTAGCAACGGCAGCGGAGAGTTAGCTCGGCAAATCATGGCTTTTCTCGCCATTGCGATCCGTCTCCACCCATCAGCGTACCCTTGTGATAGAAGAAACGCGTGCCAAACTCGACTGGCGACTCGTTCCCGCTCCTCCTCCCCGCGTCGGCCGCCATTACCGTGTACTCATTACACAGCACGTGCATCTCGTGCGACAGCGGCTTGGGCCCGCAACAAAACACGCCAATATCGGTGCTCGGGTACGATCGCGTCAGCCCCTCGAAAATCGTCGGCCAGTGCGGCCGCCCATAGTACGTGTTGGACGCGAGCCCCGATACGGCGTCACGCACGGCCTCTCCGCCATGCTTGCCGTCGTCGCCGGCCCCCGCCGCGACGGTCATGTCGTGCATGACAACGTTCGTGATCTGATCGGCCGTGAGCGGCGCCGTCAAGTACATGTGCAGCTCGACGAGGTCCGGCAGGGCCACTTCGAGCGCGTGCAGCCGCGCCTGGAACCACTCGAACGCGTTGGCGTCGCGGCACACCCAGACAAAGTGCACTTTCTTGGTGCGCAGCGTGCCGCCCTGCGCGAGCCAGTGCAGGTGCTTGAGAATCGACGCGTAGGGGTCACGCCAATCCCGGCCCCGACGAGCAAGACCACATCGTTCCGCATCCAGTCCTCGGCGGCAGCGCCGTAGGGCCGTCCATCATGATCTCCGGCAACTGCGCGGGCGCCGCCTGGCCCACGACCGCGGGCGCCGTCCAATTTTCGTCGGTAAAAGAAATCCCACACGCGTGCGCGACACTGCGCGTCCAGTCCCCGACAACGCGCATGTGCACCGAGTAGTACGCGTCGTCGGGCGCCGACGTGAGGATGAACGGGTGCCACTGGCATGGCGCGACCGACGGCACATTGAGCCAGACATACTGGCCCGGACGCATCCGCGGCGCCGACGGTTTCTCGATGCGCAGTTCCACGACACTCGCCGGGTGCAGGACAACTTTCACGATCTGCGTCGCGCACCAGCCGGTAACTTCGCGCAAAAGGCGCTCGATCAGGTAGAGCGTGGCCGCGCCGACAATGTACTCCAGAAATTGCCACCTATGCTGCATTTGCCGGCGTCCAACTTGACAAAGTAATACGCGCCGTGCGGGAGGAGCGCGGCAATATAGACGAGGAACAGGTGGTGCGAGTACCAGAAGATTTCGAAGTGCGCGCGACGCGTGCGTCGCGCGGCGGCGGTTACCATGATGATGAGCGCGACCGTTACTACTTGGCCCGTGAGCCCGGGGCCCGAAACGAGGGCGTACCACTCGGCTATTGCGTGAAGGGGTCATGAGCAACTACGCGAATCATCAGCGACAAAACCGTTCAGCACGTACCCGAATAAGTCGTTGCGAGCCCCAAAGCGCGGTAATTCCAGTTATGCGCCATGACGTGAATCCAGGTAAACAGCACGATCGCGTACCCGACATAGCGGTGGAATGTGATGCTCTTGTCAAACGGAATGATCGTCGACAGGACCGTGACGCGCAGCTTGGAAATGAGCGTGCGGCACACAGGTCACAAAATGATGGCGCTGTTCCAGTTGAGGCACGCGGCCGCGGCCTTGGCCGCGGGGATCCCGTCGCCGACGAGTGACATGACCGTCTTGTAATCAGGAACCGACTTGTAGTGAAGAAACGTGCTCACTTAGAGGTAGATTTGTGACGCGACGTAGAGGAGGAGGCAGATTTGGCCCGGGTCTACATCGAAGATGAGCGTCAGAACGCAGGGTCATGAAGATGGCAGCAGCAACAGGCTCCACGCACCATAGTTGACGAACCAGCTCAGACATCGCACAGCCAGGTGCGATCGCGAGCCGATGAGGGCGTTACCGGACGACGGCGATTCGAAGGTATTGCGCGAGAGCACATTGGCGTCGCGCAGACGGGTGTCGACGACCGTTTCCGGCGGCTTGGATCGTGGATGCGTGCCGGGCATGGTTTGGCGTGATGATCGAGATGTAACGAGCGAAAGTGGACGTGATCCCCGTCCAACTCGAACAGCTCCTCGCGCGAGCACCCGCTCGTCCTATACAGCGCGTGGACCGGCGCGCGCGCCGGTGGAGAGGTTGGAGAATGAGATAAGCAACCGTGTCGCCGTGCGCGGATGGTCGCACGCGAAGCGATGCGAATTGAAGACGTTGCGCGCGAACAGCAGTCGAGCTCAGCTTGGAGATCGACGAGTACTCTTGCCGTCAAACACCAACCCGATCCGGTCAGATCCGGCCCGTCGTACGTTCTCGTCACGACCAAATCCAATCCCAGCTCGGCAGGTCAGCGACGACGGGCGTATCAATGAACTCGGGACGCGGATCTTGTCAATGCGCGGGCGGCGCACTTCCGTTGTCTGGCACAGTGGCATAAGGCTGGCGGATCGGACTGTGCACGCGATCAAAAAAGATGCAGCGGATCATTCGTTGGAGTGTTTCCACGCCGTGCTGCAGAGGCGGTTCGAGCGCGGTTCGAACGCGCGGTTCGAATCGGGAGGTTGCGCGGTGACCTCCGGAGCAGGGTCTGGAGGGTACCCCGATTCAACGGGGTTTGTTCGGTGACTTCGTGTGCACACTTCGGTTGGGACCTGAGACAAGGAAGAGAAAACGAAGTGGCACTCGAGAGCAATGCATGTTGGCGCGTGTTGAACCCTTTGGATGGCGCTGGAGGCTTGCGCTTTGGAGTGCCCCCTACAAGAAACAGGGCATGGCCGGAAGCAGCCCATCGCCACACAAGCCGGCGCAGCCCTGCTCCGACGCCAATCCACTCCAAAACACAAATTTTTTTGGCAAATCGTCCAACAAATTGCTCGTTTTTCAGAGCCATTTTTCTTCACCCCGACGTTGTTCGCTCGAGTCTATCACATCGCAACCATCCTGCACTGGTTGGATACCCTTGTTGTATTGCCGTTTGAACGTAACATTTGACAAAATGAGAGTTGGAACGTCCTGCCCCTCTGGCAAAAAATGATGGTACCAAACAGGTGCAACAAAAATAACAGAAACCATGTTACGCTTGGTCTCTTAAAATCCGAGCGAGGAGGGATTCGAACCCTCGATTTTGACCTTCGGAGGGTCACGCCTTAGCCACTAGGCCACGCGCCCTGTTGCAAGCGCTGTGCAGGTGGTCTTCCAAATAACCATACTTAGGCTGAAAAATAATGATGGTACGAGACATGTGGACATTTTCTTCACAAAAGACATATAACAGTTGATTTCATGAAATCCCCGAGCGAGGAGGGATTCGAACCCTCGATTTTGACCTTCGGAGGGTCACGCCTTAGCCACTAGGCCACACGCCCCGCTTTCAGGACTGCTCCCCAGAATAAATCAACTCGCTGCAAGCGATGACAGGACGACGGCGAAGAGGATGAAGAGGATGATGGTGGCACTGTGCTTTCAGCACCTGGCTCGCCCTGTGAAGCCGGGATGCGGCGTAATCGAGTCGTAGCACAAATGATTCTTTATCGAGCAACTCAGTTCACACCACCACCACCACCACCACCACCACCCACCACCACTCCAGGCGGTGGTGCGACACCCCCCACACTTGTGGGCGCGCTCATAGAAATTGTCAGGGAATGTTGAGAAATCGCTTGCAGCGAGTTAGGTCTGTTTGGGGGGCCGGGGGCAGGGCGTGTGGCCTATGCACGGTTCATAGGCTGACCATCTGCTTGATAACAGGGCGTGTGGCCTAGTGGCTAAGGCGTGACCCTCCGAAGGTCAAAATCGAGGGTTCGAATCCCTCCTCGCTCGGAGATTTCAAAAGCACATGTGTGTCTTGAGTTCTGCTGTTTTTGCTGACTCCCATTATTTGCCAGCCGGCCAATGCACGGTTCATTCTATGACCAGCTGCACACCATGCGTAACGGGGCGTGTGGCCTAGTGGCTAAGGCGTGACCCTCCGAAGGTCAAAATCGAGGGTTCGAATCCCTCCTCGCTCGCATTTGAAGAGAGCAAGTGTGTGATGTTTTCTGTGATTTTTGTTCCACCTGTCTGGTACCATCATTTTTTGCCAGAGTGGCAGGATGTCATTGACTCATCACCTCTGGCCCTCTAGCCTCTGTTCATTTTTGTGGAAGAGCAGTGGCATGCCAATTCGTCCAGTTCATCCTCAAGAGGGAGATTGCAGACTTTCAATTTGTTGGAATCCACCCAAACTCAGTCCCCTGACAGCAAGCTGGATTGCCACTGGTAGCAAACAAAAGGGTACTGCCATTTGCACGAAAAATTGGTCAGCATGAGTATTGGCATGAGTGTTTGAATGTGGGCATGAGTGTCAACATGGGGATTTGGGGGACAGTCCTGTCAGGCTTGCTCATGGCATGTATGTGGCAAATGATGATTGGTCAGGAAACAAAGAAGCATGAAAGGAACGTTCTATGGTGTGCAAAACGGAGAACTGACCCCAATTTCCCAATGTCAACACTCATGCCAACACTCATGCCCACACTCATTCCAAGCTCCCATCCATGCCCCCACCCAAGTGCCTGCACCTGTGTGGCATTGCCTGCCACTGCTGCACTGCTGAATGCAACCTTGTTGCACCACACACTCACTGCCAAGCAACCATCTGCACCTGCTGTGTCAGTGTCACCTGGTGGCCCTACTCCTGCTCTTGTCCTGTCTGGTGTGCCAGCTGGCTTGTCTCCCTCAACAAGTCTTGCTGTGCCAGCAGGGCTGCCCATCGTGACCATGCCCCCTCCCACTCATGCATGAGGAAGGCATGGCTGCAGGACCAGCAGGTCTTCCTGGCCTGGCACTGCTGGTCCAGAATGCCTGTGGATTGAGGGATCCATTAGGCTGTGTGGCCAGGACTGATGCGCTCAAGTGCTTGCTTGATGAGTTGGACACATTGGTGGTGGTGCTGACAGAGATGAGGTTGACAACAGACCAGATCTGTGCTGTGGAGTTTGAGTTGCATGATCTGCACTGGGAACAGGGCTGGGCCATGTGGCATGCTGTTGCTGCACCAGGTTCAGTCAGCAAGAGTGAGGGTCATGGGGTCACCCTCATGATCCATTCCCAGTTCCATCCATATCTGGCTGAGACTATTTAACACCCATGGCTGTGCTTGGAGTCTGGATCAACTTGGCCCCACATCACCAGATTCTCATCAACAGCATCTACACACAGGCCAGTGTTGCCAAAGCTGTGTCCAGGTTAATGACACACTGGTTGTTCATTTGTCAAGGAGCCATGCACATAAGGACATTGGTCAATTGTTTCACATCAAGCAATCACATGTCAACTTTGTCACTCCAGCTGGACTGGGCCAAGGCGATTTCCTTGGCCAGCTGTTGCTTGCTCATCATGGCTTGTCAGTGTCATGACCTTGTCCAGGACTTGTCTGTGTGGCATCACATACTGCTTTGTGCTTGATGCAGCTCTCACATGCGCTCATGTGCCTCTCCTTGCAGGTCCATTTGCACACTGATGGGATTGAACGTTGTAAGTGGCCCATGCCCACCCACGCCCATGACATGCACTCCATTTTGAGCAGTGTTGTGTTGCAGGTCAAGCTGTATTGTATCTCAGGCTAATCCATTGGGCCAGCCCACTTGTGCTCACTTGTGTTTGTGTTTTTGTGTCAGGATCTGGCCCACACTTCTTTTCCTCTTTCTTTGCCATGCATATTCATTTTTTCTTGCCATTTGCAAACCAGTGCCTGCCTCTGCCCAAAAATGTGTAACTGCTCTTGTTGAAACTCTGAATGGATGCTTTTTGCCATCATCAACTTCGTTTCTGCCCTGTCAATACATTTGCAGTTGTCTCTGATCTCAGTTTGCCATCATGGTTCCTTCCTGGGTAGCATTCTGGACCACATGTCTGGGGGCGTCTTGAGCGTCCCCTTTCATAGCACTCTGTGCGTTTTTGATAAGTTTTGAGTTTGGGTCCCAGTGGGCAACAAGTTGGATTAACCATTGTTTAGCAAGGCGCCATCACTGCAATCCTTTGAGTGGCCTGTTGCTTCACATATTTGTGACTCCAAGTGGCAATCTACTAGGTGGTGAAGCTATGTACACGCCAGCAAAATGTGGAGGAGTGCATTACATGATCACGAATTGCTGTGCCCTAGCTCCACAATCCTGTCAGCAATGCCACGCCCTGGGGAGTGCAGAACTCTGCAATCTGACAGACTGGCCACCAAATTGTTGAACACAAAGTGCTATCTCTCCATCAGTGGGATGTGCCCTGACCATGCTCCAACAAACACACACAAACAACAGCACCTTGCCTAAATTCCACCCAACTGGACTCCACCATGCTTACACGTTCTCCACCTCGCCTCTCCACCCTCTCGATCTCATGCACACTGCATTATGCCACCATGATCCAATCTGGTCCTGTGCTTCACGACCATGGTGTAGCCCCACCATGCAGTGCCGCCATGACCGACGCACGCGCGTTCCTGCCGCCACCACTGGAGCTGCCGCCAAACCCGCGCATCCCGCGGCCACCAAAAGGCCCACCATGGTGGCCCGGAAGCATGCCACCAGCGGCGCCCGAGGTGGATTGCGTCTGCAGGTGCTTGTTGACCATCTATCGCACAGAGCAACGCGTCAGTGGTGGATCGACAAGTAGAGGTGGAGAAGGGAAGCCAAACCTGGTTCGTCGCCTGCGTGGTCTTGGTCATGATGGCCAGGTACATGGCGAGGAGGATGTCGTTGTGTTCCTGCGAGTCGCGAGTGGTCGGTCATTGCACAGTCGGGAATGTGGGATGGGGGGGGGGGGGGTGCGGGTCGAGCGCACCTTGGCCAGCGCCTCGGAGAACTCGGGGCTCGAAATGGTCGGTAGCCGGTGGACAATGCTCGCGACTTGGCGGAGCAGGTCGTGGTCCGGCGGGAGTGCGCCTAAACCATGCGAGAGCGTGTCGCGTGAGTCCAGCAAGGGAGCGGACGGTTTAGACCGTGGCAACGACACGACTGACTCACGTACCGGCCTGAACCTGCTTGACGTACGCCAAAATGGCCTGGATGCGGGTGTGCAGCATGGCGAGCGCGCTGCTCTGCGACGACAAGTGCTGGATCACTACTCGAGCAAAAACGCGTCAGCTCTCTTCCTCCACCCCGGCCCGATGCTGGAACACCAAATCAGTACGCACATGCACCCTCAGCGCCCGCGCCTGCGGCCACTTCCTTGGTGACCCCCTCCACTGCTATCCGCTCAGGCTCCGACGTCTCGACCTTGACAGGCACTTCCACAAGCGAGAGCTCGCCCGTGGTCGAGTCGGTGGCCGACTCGTAGAGATAAAACGGCAGCGCCTTGGTGCCAAGCAACGACGGGTCGAGCCGCGCGTGCACAGGAAGTTCATTGAAGCCCATAAACTGCTTGTGCAGGTGCACTTCCCGCGCGGTCGGCGACTGCACCGACGTCGAGTACCACCCGAGGAAGTCGTATTCTGGGAAGACCTCCTTGTCTGATGTTGAGAAACATGAGTGGGTGAGTGGACGCGGTACGCACGAGGTGGTCGAGACCGCGGCGAACGTACACTGCTCGAGCCGCGTCTTCAACAGCTCCGTGTCGACGGTAAACTGCGGCGCGTGCACTTGCACTTCGAACGACGTGAAGATCTCGACGCGTCGGCCCGACTGGATGCCGAGCAGCGCGCCAAAGACTATGGTACGCCGTGCCGCATCAGTCGCGCCATATCAGAAATGAGACAGCCCGCGACCATCGCGCGTACCGAGCCCAGGCGACGCCGTGACCGTGTTTTGCACGCGCATGCGCGTGAACTGGTCGGAAATGTTGAGGATTGCGAGCGGGTGCCTGAACGAGCGCGGCAAGACGCGTCAATTCGAGGATTTAATGCCGGAACGCGTTCCAAAGACGATAGATTGCGCAATCGTCATGGCGCGGCCGTACACGGCGTAGTCGAAGCTCGAGTCGGCCATGGTGGAGATGATTCAAGGCGTGGTCGGTGAACTCTCGGCACGTGGCCAGCTGGATCGGGTCAGCTTTGCAAGTGCGGGTGCTGCTGCTGCTGATACTCGTGCTCGCGGACGGTTGCTGTTGCGGGCGGTGTTGCTGTCGTCGCGCGCGACGCGTAGTTGCTGGCCGAGATCGTCGCGCCCGTGGTGCTCACCAGCGGAAGTGACTCGGAT